ACATGAAACCGTAGGAGCCGATCTGCGTGATCATCTCTTTCCCCTGCTCCTCCCGGTAAATGAACTTGAAGGCCTCCATCGTTACCTCCGGAGTGGATGTGATCACCCGAGCCGTCTCCTCCAGGTTCTCCCCCACCCATTGCTTGGCCCTGCCGGGGAACTCTCGCTCCTTCAGCTCCAAGTCCTCCAATAGCTTCAAGTTCTCCTCTTTCAACTGAAGGGTCTCTGCCTTGGCCTCCCCGGCAATCGCTGAGAGATGGGAAAGCTCATCAAGCTGCCGGGCAATCAGGTCCTGCAGCTCCCAGTTGTGGGCCTCGACTCCCTTCAGCTTCTCCTCCAGCTGAAATGACCGGGAGGGGGAGTCCCCCGCGAGCTTCTCCAAAGTCTCCGGGCCAACCTCGCCCATCTGTGAATTGTCAATCCGACCGGTTAGAAAAATGTACGAGTAGGTCGTTAAAAATAACATACCGGGAGAACGATACCTCTTTCAGCTTAAGGGTCATCTTGACCCACAGCTCCTCCATCGATTCTCCAGCCGGGGAAGTTTCTCCCCTTCTCCTCTTCGCCGCCGGATGTGTGGTGGCAACTTTCTTCATCCTCATCTTCCCCTTTCCCTTGTGGAGGGTGGGGTTTTCCGGTCCCCTGCCGGCCGGGGAAGCTCCACCGGTTGGAGGAGTGTCCTCTTCGGAGTGGACCTCTATGGTCTCCTTCTGAACTGGCACGGTTTTGGCAGCGGAAGTGTGGAGACCAGCAGAAGAAGACGCACCGGCCGTCTTAGGGATGCCGAAGGACCTGAAGTTCATATCTGCAAGACGAGTGGAAAGTTATGTGATCCATGTGTGACCAGTAATATATAAAAAAAAGAGAGAGATTATAGTGACAGATTACCTGGGTGACTTGGGCCTCCAGCCTCCGCAGTGTCGCCCGGGGAGGGTACCCCGTGCCCCGCTGCTTCATGGGCTTGGGAGGTACCCTCGCCACCCGGTTGGGTGCGCCAGACCCAACCACCATAGTGGTACATCTGACCGGTGTAGGGATCCCCCCTGAGAAGCTTTTCCAAACTCTCCTCCAAGTCTGGAGTGGTGTGCGGTTCGGTGAACTGGTGCTTGAGGAGATTGTCACTCCACTTCAAGCCGGCCAGAGGGTTGGCAGAAGGGGAAAATTTTATGAAGACAAATCTTTCCTTCCACAAGCGGTTGCTTTGTGGAAGGTCAGAGATAAATTTGCGATTGTTCCGTCCCTTGAAGTAGACAAAACCTTCGCAACCCGGTTTTACCAGGACAAACCTCAAACATATACAAGAAGAGGCGAAGAGAGGGATCGATGCGAAGATGGGTGCAGATGTTTGCGAAAGAATTAAGCAACCGGTGAGCGTTGGGTGTGATCTGCCCGGGGAGAATCCTGAAGCAGTGACACAGCTCGACCAGGAGTGGGCAGAGGGGAAAGACGGTACCACTCTCTAAGGAGGCAATATGAAAACCTATCCTATCGTCCCGGTGCGGTTCTATGATGTTGGACCAGTTCTCGTCGTACTCAAGAATATAACCCGCCGGAAGATTCCTACGGGCCTTATTCAAGGCTATCTTAGAAACATGGGGGTAAATGTCTGTGACAAAGGAAGTAGGGAGGGGGGAGTAACCGGCTACTTCCAGCCTCTCTACCCATTGGTCCCGGGTCTCTTTATCCGGGTCATAGGGGGCTGGTTCGTCGCTGACCGGATCCTCCCTCTCCGCAAAAACCTGACCGGGCATTTGGTTCACCGGTTGAGGTTCGGGGATATTGGGTTTTCGAGCTGACCGAGTGTCAGGCTCGGGTAAAGATGACCCGGTAGAGGAAGAGGATAGGGATTCCTCGGATGCGTAGGCATCCGAGGCGGAAATATCCTGACTATCGGAGGAAGACATTTACCGGAAGAAAGAATGGAGAATAAAGAAAGTTAAGGAAGAGAGAAGGGAGCTTACTTGACTCGGAGGGCTAGGGGACGAGAGAAGGAAGCTTGACCGGTAGAAGCTCTAGAAACGGATTGCAAAGAGTGAGAAAGGCGATGGGGTTTGAAGCCTATATATAGGCGAGGAGAGAGGAGAAGGAGGCGACGTGGCCTCACCGCGCTCAGTTTCCGACACGTGTCATAACTGATACTTTTCGAATTTTGAAATTCAAAAATTTTGAGCGGGAAAATCCAAAATTCGAATTTAAAAGTCCATTTTTAGATTTTTACTTCCCGCTTATGACACAACTGCATAACCAAGAAGTGGAGGGCTTACTGATGGGTGTATTTCACCCACAACCGGTCAAAGGGCTGGATTAGATAGTCGACCGGTCAAAGAAGTCGAACTCGAAAGGGAGATCTGAATCGTCAGCAAAGGGGCGGCTGGTTGACCAGAAAGTTGGCCGGTACACTTCGGGTTAGTATACCGGTCAAACTACTCCATTGCCTAGATCCGTCCTCTGAAATTAGCCAAACCAACCCTCGAAGATCACCCGGTCTAGTTTCCGAAGATCGGAGAGCGTCGGCAGGAAGAATCCAAAAGAGGCTTGGACTGTAGTGGTTGGCGTTGCAGAGATGCTGGAGGAATATTTCCAAGCCAGAACGTGACAAGGAGGGTAATCCCCCTCGCAAGACGACAGGGCAGCTCAGAGCCAGTCACTTCACACCACGCCAGCAGCATACCCCCACGTGGGCGCACGTGGTCCTGCTCCCCAGCCTAGTATATATACCTCTTGTAACCCTCGAATGAGGGGATCCGAATTCATTCTCTCTAAACTCCCTTGTAAAAGCACCCGTGCATTCTCCGTTATAATATAAATTGGGCTACAGGTGTTCCACCTAAAGTCCTACCGGTCAATCTGCGCGTTTTTACCTTTCTTACTTTGCCAAATAAAGCAAACTATTCTAGACCCGGTCTAGTATAGTTTGACCGGTCAAGTAATTTACACCATCAGGTGGGATAGAAATTGCCAATTTTTCGAATAAACCTCCATAGAGATCTCAAATGAAGTCCGAGTCATTCCAAGATATTGAAACTCAATATAATTGGAACCTTCCCGAAATTATAATCGAGCACATACAATCATTTTAAATAATGCTTGATTTATTGCATTATATCCTTTGTAGTTTGTACTAGCGAGTCCGCAATTGGTGGTATAAAGTTGTTGTTTCTCTGTACCTATAAGTAATTTTTAACTCATAAATAAGATCATGACATGTTTTTCTATGTTTATAAGCTAACTTATAGATTGTTTATAAGACAGATAAAATAAAAAATAAGTTGGTATTACTTGTTTATTTTTACACAAGTTTTTTTTTGTTTCGACTAGATTATTTATGAATATTTCCAAATGACTTATACTCCCTCCGTCCATGTATGATCTTCCCATTACGCGTTACGAGGCTTGACCGACTTTATTTTCAATTCAATTTAATTGATTATAGGAGTAAAACTTTAAAATAAAATTTATATAGTAATAAACTACATGAAAAGTTCTACAAAACTAGAGGTGACAAGACTATATTATTTTATGAAATGACTAGTAAAATTGAGCAAACAAAGTGAATAAAGTTTGACCCTGTGAATAGTATCTGGGAAGATCTATGGTGGACAGAGGGAGTATATCATTTTAGTCATTTTACTTTCAAAAAAGAATATATTTGGTTTATAAACAACTTATGAGTTAAAACTACAATATTTATTAGTAATAAGCTAATAAACACTAGTACAAGAAAACATTTCCAAGTTAACTGGCTCTTGTTTACCAAATATTCTCTCCATTTAAAAGAGAATGTTATATTATGCAAAATGAAAAAAAATATTTCTAGTTTTCAATTTATAGTTGTTTTTTATTTTTTTTTAAAATTACACAGCTAAAACCAGAGAATTTAGGAACTCTATAATCCACCTCATGCTCAGCTGTGCTCCTCAGTCACGAAGTTGTGGTTGTAAATACGGGATCCGAGAGAGTCCACCGCGCCACCTACCGCCGCCGAGAATGTCCACCGGAGACACCGCCCCGGCCGACGGCGGAGAATCCGTCGAGGCTGCTCTGCGGACACTTCAAGACGTAGTGCGGATCTCTGCCTCCGGCTTCTCCGGCGCCTTCAAAAAAGACTGCACCGACCTAGCTCGCAGAGTCTCGCTCCTTGCTCATCTGCTCGAAGAGATCAGAGATTTCGACTCCAATTCGCTCATAACTTTGTCTTCTTCATCTTCGTCTTCCTCCAGTTGTTGCTTTTCTGATCTCTCTATAGCTCTGGAAGCTGCCAAAAGAGTTCTCTGCTCAGCTAACGACATTGATTCTAAGATCTCTTCTGTGAGTATGAATAAGCTCACATAGTTACATTTCTGATTTTTTTTAATGGTTCTTAAGTCTTAACTGAAAATTTCCAGTAGGTGATTTTGATTTTGCACCTACATTTTGATGAACATTAAGAACTCTGTTTCTAGTTTTCTATGGCGAATCTGGGTGAATTTAGGGCTACGAGTAGGTGATTTTAATCAGGAGCTAATTTAATGAATATGTTTATGAAATTGGCTTTGAATATATTGTTTCATTTAATCAATCCAAGTTACTTTGGGGCCATCATTAACTTTGGCCTAAGACCATCTTCTTCATATGTGCGTGTGGTGAAACCATTTTAGCTGCATTCTAGTGACTGGTTGACTTATGGTGAATCAATTTTAATTAACTTTGCATACTTTTTCATGACTATTTTTTTCTTTCAAATATAAGATTGTTGATTATACTTCAGCTCATTTGCACTCAGATTGAGCCTGTTGAGGGTATAAAGTCTCAAATCAAACATCCAACAAGTGACAACCCAAGTAAAAAATAACCAAATTGTACTTGAGGGGATGATGATGATACTAAATCAACAAGGACAAAAATAGAATATATAAGAAAATGAGTTCCATTGGTTTTGGGTTGGATTCTCGCAATTTTACACAGTCTAACCCCAATTAAGTTGCAGCGTGTTTTTTTAATTACGGAGTACAACATTGCTTACTATAATTTTCTTTCCATTGGGCCAAATTTTCTTATCAAAATGTGCTATTTCTTGTGATTTTAGGATGGGGTGATAAAGAAAATCCACTTTCAATTCCAATGTGTGACTTGGAAACTGGAGAAATCCCTTGAGAACTTACCTTATGATCATCTGGACATATCTGAGGAAGTAACAGAACAGGTTAGTTAACATTGTAGTAGTTTATTACTCCGTATTAAGGATTGTTTGGATGTGGCTATGCCATTTTATAATAGAATTTTAAGAGAATTTAATCATAACATACTTGGGTCAATCTACACTAAAAGATTGAATATAATCCATTATCTAGTTCTATTCAAGGCCTGACAAACCCAAATTATTCTCTTCCCTACAGATTCACTTGCTTAGATCACAGTTGAGAAGAGCCACAGAAAGATACGGTGGGCAAATGAATTCAATTACAATAGCACGTACACTATCAGAGCCGTTGGATAAAGAATTGGATCTGCTTTGGCCGAGCAACCGGACAATTGGGAGTTTGCACATACAAAGCACTGGAAATATTGATCCCGAGGTTAGATTGAAGTCGGGTGGTGTTTTGGTCCCTCTGGCCAATAGTGTGACAAAGTCGTCATCCGTGGAACCCAGCGAATGTGTCCCGGGGATTTCCGGTTGTGTAGGAGAAGAAGACAAGTTGAGCGATGAAGGTAGTGTAGAAGAGAACAAGAAGGAGAAATCTGCTACGGTTCCCGATGATTTTCTTTGCCCCATTTCCTTGGAGTTAATGAGGGACCCTGTTATTGTGGCAACTGGGCAGGTTAATCTTTCACCTTTCTAAAATTGTATACATTCTTCTTTTGTGGCTGTTGATAAAATTTAAGATTGCATGATGGGTTACTTGATTGGGTTATAAGATACTTGGGGCAAACCATATCAAAATATTGAAACCAATTGAGGGATAAGTGGTTTGATTTCCATAAACGGTTTCTTTTGGAAAGGGGAAAATGACTTCCAAAATTTATTTTCCCATTTCGAAGTCAATGAAGATTAATCCTTCTTTTGAGGAAGAATTTTTGTTTTTTCACCGGAAGACATTATCCCCCATTCACCCACTTCTTAGATCGAAACTCAATACGTTTTATGGTGTTATGACAACAAAAGTTAGTTATTTTCATTTTCCAAACTTTCAACCAAAAGAAGTAGCATTTCTAAGATGGTCTAGCATCTTCTTCCTTTCATCATGCAGACTTATGAGAGATCATACATACAAAAATGGATAGACTGTGGAAACACAACCTGCCCGAAAACCCGGCAAAAACTTGACCATCTTACCCTCACGCCTAACTACGTCTTACGGAGCCTCATAAGTCAATGGTGTGGAAAACACAATATCCAGCAGCCCACAACCCTCATCAACCGAAGGGCAAAGAAGGGTGATGGATCACTCCACGAGGCCAACAGGGCCGTTTCTGCCATTGAAGCACTCACCCGGAAGCTCTCGAGCAGGTCGCTCGAAGAACGAAGGGCAGCAGTGTCTGAAATCCGGTCCTTGTCCAAACGGAGCACAGAAAACCGAATTTTGATCGCCGAGGCAGGAGCTATCCCAGTCTTGGTTAACCTGTTGACAGCTGAAGATGGAGAGGTTCAAGAAAATGCAGTGACTTCAATCCTTAACCTCTCCATATATGACAACAATAAGTCACTGATCATGCTGGCCGGGGCTGTTCCTTCCATTGTTCAAGTTCTAAGGGCAGGTACCTCATAGACCTCCGCTCAGGCCTTTACATATACTACATAGTACTTATGTTCGTAGTATTCATCCCGTTTTTTTGAGTCAACCTGGACAAACTTTGATATTCTATTAAACATAAATTGCATATTATTTCATTGAACTAATATGCAATGCATTTTTTATATAATTTATTTTTAAAGTTCTAGTTTGTTCTCGGAGAGTCAAACCGAACAAATAATCTACGAAGAGTATTTGGTATATATAAATGCATAGTACCGTATATATTCTTAATGCGCTTTTGTAAGTAAATGAAGTAATGAAGTAGTCGGTAGTTAGGGTCGGGAGGTTTGGGACACCATGTCTTTAAATTCTTGGATGCGCCATTGTAGGTACCACTGAAGCGAGGGAAAATGCCGCGGCAACGATATTCAGTCTCTCGCTCGGAGATGAGAACAAGATAATAATCGGCGCATCCGGGGCGATCCCCGCCCTCGTTGAACTCCTCCAGAGCGGGACTGTCCGAGGGAAGAAAGACGCCGCGACTGCTCTGTTCAACCTGTGCATTTACCAAGGAAACAAGGGCCGGGCGGTGAGGTCGGGCATCATTCCCGCCCTCTTGGGAATGCTGACCGACCCTAGCGGCAGTATGGTCGACGAAGCCCTAACCATTCTCTCCGTCCTAGTCAGCCACCACGATGCCAAGTCGGTTTTAGCAAGCACTAACACTATCCCCATTTTGATCGATCTCTTGAGGGTTGGCCTTCCACGTAACAAGGAAAACGCCGCCGCCATTTTGCTCTCCCTGTGCAAGAGAGACCCCGAGAACCTTTCGTCTCTTAGTAGGCTCGGCGCACTCATACCTCTAGCTGAGCTCTCCAAGAATGGTACTGAGCGGGCTAAGAGGAAGGCTGCATCGTTGTTGGAACACCTGCGCAAAGCGCCACAGTAAAGAACCATTTACCCTTTCTCTTCTCTTCTCTTAATGCTAATACTTGAATAAATCTCCATTTAGGGTGTAACCAATAGAAGCATGAGAAACCATAAAGGACATTCTCGTCGCTTCACGTGTATCTATACATCTATCTATATATATATATATAATTGTGCTCACTTCTTCGTCTTTTTCGTCTTCGGGTGTGAGGTCTTTGGTTCAAAACTCATTGCGAAAGCCGGTTTCTATTATGGCGAGATGACAATGCGTATATGCAACTTCTGAGGTAATTCTTGTAAGTTTAATCACCATAGTGCAACTTGTTTTTTTAAAAAAAATCTTTTTCTCTTTGAATTCTGTGTGTGGGGTTTTTTTTTTTAAATTTAATTGTCACATATTTTGGAACCTCTTGTAATGAATGTTAAGGTTCACAAGCTTCATCTCTCCATGTACCTATGTTTTCAATACTTCCAATTCATGTAATTTTGAAATGTGAATTGTTTTTACCCCACAAAGGTAGCCCAGATGGGTATTTGTTGAAGAAATTCATAAAGTAGTGTGCTCGTGACATTATATTGTGTAATACGTTTGTACCGGCCGATGGGCCTTGTAAATCTTAAGTACTCCTGTCTCACAATGTTTTACGTTTTGTTTTTTGAACTCGGCACCGTATATACCTCAATTAAAGCTAATGTCATTCCATGACATTGAAACTCCATGTCGTGGAAATTGGACCGTTAATTAATTAATTAATTACTTCACCTAACCAACCCGCTTAGGCCTTTTTTGCTCGACTCCCCTCTATGCAATATCTCCCTCTTCCCCGAAGACCTTCTCTTGAGATGCAGGAAGAATTTCTTTTTTCAAAAAAAAATGTTTTTTATTTTGATTTGCGCACACTTCAATTCTAAATGAGGGCACCTCTTTGGCGCTTTCAGTCAATTGAAAAATAAGAATATCACGAACAAAAAAGAAATTGAGGGTGACTTGGAGGCATAGTTCAATGGTTAATAAAATACTCGTATAGAAGAAAATTCAAAATTGTGACCGAATTCAACTCTTAACAAATGCAGTATGGGACCTTTTATGTTATGCATAAAACAAAAAAAATCATTATTGAAAAAAGGTAAAACGGGCGTCTCTGGTGACCTACACCCCGGCCGAATAGGATTGTAAGGGTTAAAGCATGGTATAATTTTAGCTTGATTCTTAAAGAGGTGGTGACCTACACCCCGGCCGAATAGGATTGTAAGGGTTAAAGCATGGTATAATTTTAGCTTGATTCTTAAAGAGGTCGTCCTGCTTTCATCCCAGAATCATTGAGCTTGACATCCCCCGAACAATATTCTCATTTTGAGTCCACCTTTATCCGCAATTTTTTTCATGATACATAAGTGATATGTCCATGACTCCACGGATATATATATATATATATATATATATATATATATATATATATATATATATATATATATAGGCCGTATTATACCCAGTAAATGTGAACAGGCCGGTTCCCATGACATTGGGAACTAATGTCATGGGATGGCCCGGGGGTGCTCCGGTGCCCCGTTCTTAAAATTGACGGTTCCTACCCCCCAAATACCCCCAGTAAACCCCTTATCCCACACCGACCTGAAAATGCCCCCTCACCCTCTTCAATTGCACCCCCTAAGTTGATTTTGACTTTAGAGTCAAATTTTGACTCTAAAGTCAAAATCTACTAGGGGTGCAATTGAAGGGAGTGGAGGGGCGTGTTCGGGTCGGGGCAGGGTGGGGGATTTACCGGGGGTGGTTAAGGAGAGTAGGAACTGTCAATTTTAGGAACGGAGCAACGGAGCACCTCGGGTCATGGGAACCAATGTCATGGGAACCAGAGTAAAATGTGAATTCAAATTATCACCCATCCATATGGTAATTTGACTAATTTCTTGAGTCTATATACTTTATAGATACTACATAGATTCGCTATGCAATTTTTTCAACTTTTAAGTGGGGGTAATGAGGACTCCAAAACTTCATCTTTGAACTCCCTATTATGGTAAATACGATTTAAATGTTCAGTGTCAAAATTATTTCAATTAAAGGTTATGAAATTTTGATTAAAAATATAAAAACAATATTTAAAAAAGAACTATTTTAAGGTGACCTCACGTTTCTTAGAATTTATGATTTTTGTTAGACAATTAATTACAGCCAATATTAATTATGGTAGATTTTGTAGTTCAGTCAGCTTATATAATTGTTTCCTTGTCTTCTGTTATGGCCAAATGACGTCTCTAATTTTCTGTTTTAGTTTTTTTCATTTGCAAATTGCAATTGACAAATTAATACATAAAAGTTTTTTTGTGTATGAAAAATAACATTATTTTTTTATCTTAAAGACATTCATTAAGGTAACATGATGACAACAACAACAATTATAATAATAATAATATAATAGTAACAGTAATAATAATAATTTATAACAATAAAAATTAGAATGAGAATAATACAAAAACACAAAAAAAATTAATTTTTTTTATATTTTCTAGTTTTTTCAGTTTTTTTTAATTTTTTCCAGTTTCTTCTAGTATTTTCCGGTTCTTTCCAGTTTCTTTGAACTTCAGCTCTTTTTTTCTAGTCTTATACAACATGCTCTTATTTAAATAATATCCAATAAACATTGCATAATAATGATATTACATTGTAAAAATTAAAATATATGATACTAAATTTGGAAAGTGACCATGTTTAAGCACTTAAAGTTCTCTTTCATCAATAATATCTTGCATGGACAATGCACATGACATGATTTTGTGAGAGTAGGGAGAAACTAAATAAAAAGAGACTAAATTGCACAAAATCAAGGCTCTTTGTTCTTGGGATTGTAATTGGTATTGTGAAAATTAAGGAACAATGCGAGGAGTGAGGCAACAAAGACCGCATTGAAGCACCATGCCCATATTCCGGAGCAACCCGACCCGGTAAAGTGATAATACAGCATCAACCCGGATACCACGAAGGCGAACACGAACTGCACAATCTGGCACTCGGTCACCGCCCGCTTCCACGGGGGGCGGTGCCCGAGGCCGGTCAGCAGGTAGTACGCATACATCACCACGTGCACGGCGGCGTTCGTCACTATCCCCACCGGCAACATCGTCTGGGACGTTGCCAGGCCGAGGTACGACGTTACCACCACCAGGGAGTGGTGGTACAGGTGTAGGAATGTCAGACGGCGGACCCCGCGGGGTCCGCTGAGCAGGATCAGGAGTGTGTCTGCAAACTCTAAGATCTTAGAGAAGTACGCCACGTGGGCCCAGAAGAATGTGGGCCCGTGCGGCGGAGTCCTGCCCGCCGGGAAGCAGACGACCCACGACCAGTCCCCGGCGGGCACCTGGCGGAGGACGGCGAGGGAGCATCCGGCGGCCATCGCGAGGGAGAGGAGGCAGAGGAAGACGTTGTGGGCGGCGGTGATGCGGCGGAGGACGGCGGATGAGAGCGGCCGGAGGTCGCCGTAGTGGCGGAGGAAGAGGGCGGTGAAGAGGTAAGCGGTGACGGCAGCCGCCACGAATGCGGGCGACGATCCGAATGTCTGCCCTTGTTTCCACTCGTAATGGCTGATGGCCGGGTGGTCCACCAGCCAGTAGAGGACGCCGGAGAACAGACTTTCCATATTTGACCGCCGCCGCCGCTGCAAAGATAATAGAAATATTTTTCAAAGGATCAGAAATACATTTGTTCGATCAAATTTAAACCATAAATTGAAAAGTAAAAGGGGTCAAAGTGAATTGAAATTATTTACGGAGTATATGAAAGAAAAGAACCTGAGACCAGAGTGTTTCATTCTTAAATAGTCTAGTGAAATGAGAAAATTTACCTAAATAAAACTAAAATATAATGATTCTGTTTGAAAATAGCATTAAAGATTAGTGTCAGCGTTTTAGATAAAATTTTAATGGTGCAGATTACTTTGAAAACATTAACGTTAAACGCTGCCCGTAAATAGCTCTTTCAAAATGCTAACGCTAAGGGAGAAAGGCCAAACAAAGACTAAAACATTGAAAATATACCAAAATAGGACTTCCATATTTTTTATTCCCGAAATAAAACTTACATTACCAAACATGATCATATACATTACCAAAAAAGTATAGTAATTTGCACATGTACACTGCAACATTACCACAATACAAAGTCACATTACCACAGTGCAAAGTCCTATTCCGGGAAAAAAACATGAAAGTCCTATTTTGGTACTTTTCTCTATGTTTTAGTCCTATTCAGGATGATTTCTATAACGCTAATCCCAAATAGGCTCAATGATTTACTCAAAATAGGACCATATGTTTTTATTTTCCAATGTAGGACCTTTGGTCATTATCAATTAGTCATTATTCAACTAAATGTCCATTCTGGACATTATTCTTCCCACTAGACATTAGTATTAAGTTCTATTTAGGGAATAAAAAAATTTCAAGTCCTACATTGAAAAATGATTTATGTTTTAGTCTTATTTAGTGCAAATTTCACTAGTAAAATAACAAGACATAAAGGTAAAAACTTATCTAGAATGATCCTTACTGAAACTTGCGAGTTTAAGTAAAAAATATGGATTCCGAGTAACTAAAAAAGATAAAAGTATTTAAGTAAAAACACAATCCTTTTAAAAAACACAATAGAGAGTACTGAACTAAGGAGTATTAGTTACCAATAGACCTAACGATAAATGACTTGATCTGTTTTTGACCCGAAAATACTAGATTTTGAACAAAAGTTCTGTTGACCTAATTCGAAATTGACCGGACTCGAAATGACCCACTAAAAATAGGTCAAACCCGACCTGACCGACCCGCTAATGGTAGATTTTTTTCAAAATCATATACTTTACTATCAAATATAATGTTATAAAAATAAGGTCTTAATTATGTTTTTTCTTAATTTTCGTTTTTGGTGTATAAATTTATACTTTCGGACAAAATTTTAGTAACATTGCATACTTATCTTACTTTTTTCCAAAAGTCATGCATTTTTTTAATTCATTGTATTTATTTATTTACCTAGAATTTACTTCATAATTTAAAATAATATAATATAATAGATTTAATATATATTTTTTGATATTTTAACTTTATTTAATGTGAAATGTAGGTATTAATATGAATTTCAAATTTTAAAAACCAAACTCATACCAGTAACTCGTTGGGTCGACCCAAATCAATGATACTGGATCATAAACATACAGTTCTCAATTTGAATCCGAATTGAGCCGAACCTGAAGTAACCTGAATTCGAAGTGATCGAACTCGAACCCGACTTGATCAGCCAATTTGTCACATCTAGATACCAAGTGCACTTTTCTCTTCTTTTTTTCACCGCAAATTTCGTAGCTTTGGACAAAAATCCTCAATTGTTTTGCCATAATCATTAGCCATTCACCGCTAGGGGTGGACACGGTACCGGTACAGTACCGGTACCGGAAACGGTACCGCCGGTTCCGGTACCGTTACCATCGGCCGGTACGGTCCACCGGTTCCGGGAACCGGTACCGGTACCGCCCAATCCGGTACCGGTTCCGGTGCCCATTTTTCGGTACCGGCACCGGCGGTTCCGGTTCCGGTACCGTTACCGTTTTTTTTTTATTTTTTTTTATTTCATTCTTTCCTTTATCAATTTCATTTTTAGATTTTTTTATTTCATCATTTCCTTTAACAATTACACATTTACAATTTTACATTTTAAAAATATAATAAAAAAGCAAAAAAAAAAAACAAAATTAGGGGTGGCCGAAACGGTACCGGAAACGGTACCGGAACCGGCGGTACCGGAACCGGTACCGGCCGGTCCGGTACCGGTACCGGTACCAAGGGGTGGCGGTACCGGAACCGGCGGTTCCGGAACCGGAACCGTACCGTGTCCACCCCTATTCACCGCCATAAAATGCGGCAACAATGCCAAGCACTGTCGGATGTAAAATTTGTTTTGCATGTAAAACGAATTTTCAAAACCGTCCTTTTTAATAAAATATTTTTTCTTAAATTAATACTGAATAAGTAATAATTATCAATATAGTTCTTTATAAATTGTAATTGAATTTCATTTCCTAAATAGTTCTCTGTCGAAAATGTCTATTAAATATCAATCAAATGCAATGTATTTTGATATTTTCTATAATTTAGACCAGCAAGGTTCCCATGACATTGGGTTCCAATGTCATGGGATGACCGGAGGCGCTCCAATATCTCGTTCGTAAAATTGACGATTCCTACCCCTAATCCCTCCGGTAAACCCTCCTACCCCGCCCCGACCCGAAACACCCCCTAATGAAATTTATCATAACATTTTAAATTAGTTTATTCAAGAGTGTGGCTTATTGTTCTTACCGCTTTTACCGGAAAAGCTCAAAAAACGCAGTGGCATTGTTGGCCGGAGTCAACGGAACCCCATTCTTATACGGAGTATAAAAGGAGTGCATTTTTACCTCCACCACTCACGCCTCGAGACTTCATAATTAGTGTGGAATACTTTTTCTTTATTATTGAGAAATGGGAGGGAGAAATCCCTAAAATAATACTCTCTCCGTCCCCAATTTGATTACAAAGTGCAGGTTACAGAGTGAAATTTCATATTTTTTGGAATTATTTTATTTACAAATTGGTATATCAATAAGATATAAAAATTACATATTAAAAAACTACGTCAAAAGTTCTACAAAACAAGAGATGACAAGAATATTTTATTTTATCAAATACTTAATGGAACCGCGTAAACAAATAAAAGTTATCGAGAGGAAAGAGAGAAAATTGTAATCTATGGGAGTAAGACATTTTCTTTGTGTACATTTTGTGACGCCCAACCTAACACGCAGCAGTGCGGTGCGTTCAAAGTTGAAAGTCTCTCTCTAAGTTTTTTACTCCTTTTTAAAAAGGATGAAGGAGACAATAAGTCTTCAACATTAATTATGTGGCCACATAGGCATACCAGCTCTTAGACGTTGTTTGAGAATGATTAATTTGTATATAAAGTAATTTTCATAAAAGCTGAAATCAAAAACACCTCATCTCTGCTCTTTTGAAACGGTGTTCTATGAATAAAATAGTAGTGGTGAAAAGCAGAAGCTAACATACAAAACAAAGTAAAACCACTTCCATTCAAAACAAGAGCTAAATTATTAAAAGCAGTGCACTGCCAAACACCCTCTTAGTAGAACTAATTATAGCTTTCACATTCCATAATTTGTCCCCCAAGCTAATATTGACACTAGATTTTCATGTCATTTTATGACATTTGTCTAAATTATAATCCTTATCGTGCTTTATTATCAAAATTAATACTAAATCCGTTCTAAAGTGTTCGTCCATCTTGACTTTTTTGAGTCAGACTGGATAAATTTTGAACCTTAATTAAGTAAAAATTATAATGTATATTAGTATAAAAATGATTTTAATAGATTCGACTTATTTTTAACTTTTAAAAGTTCATTCTATTGTATTAATATGCAATACAAACTGAGAATAATTGATAATTAAAATTTGTCCATTTTGACTCGAAAAAATCAAACTGGACAAATACTCTGGGACGGATAGAGCATCTTCTCATCTTTGGGAGTACATAGTTTCTAATCTTTAACCTTCTTGTCCTGTACTTAATTAGCCTCCAATCACCTAATTTTGCTGCCAACTCCCAACGGTCTAAGTGGGGAAGAGGGCAGAAGTGTGGTACAAGAGGGACAAGGAGATAGGAGTTAACCAAGGTGTTTTAACTTTTCATAAATTATAAATAATGAACAAAATGAAATTAACACATTACAATTTAACAAAATATCTAAAATACGAGCAAAACATGACTTTTTACCAAAAAAAAAGTGACATGTTTTTATATCTAGAATAAAACCTTTGAACTGTCGTATTTTGACATTATATATTGACATTTCATTATGTTTGTTGGTATTGTTGCTATTATAAATCCTATTTTGATTCTCTCTATATGTTTTACTTATATTTATTTCCTTCAAAATTTCGCAATTCTTATTATAAAGTTTTGTTTATATTAGAACATTGGGTTCTTTCGACACCCTTATGATACTTGGGTCGAACCTAAAGTAATTTTTATCAATATTAACCATTCTTAGACCCCCCCCCCCCCGAATCCATCGAAACTTGACCCCTACAACTCATCCCAACCCATTATGTTTGGGTGACAATTCACTTTAAAAAATACTCCGTATGAGATAGGAACCAATGAGTGGAGCACGGTATGAGTCTCAAATGAATTCAATGTCATATTATGACATTAGATCTTAATGTCATAAGATCGGAGTTTTACCCTCTTCAAATATGAACTTTTGGTTTCGTCAAAAACAAGAAAAGCATCTTAGAAAATATTGACAAAAATTTTGAATAATTAAAAGTGAATAATAAAAATTCACGGAGTATTTAAAATATATATATAAATATTTCTTTAGGATGAATGAAAAAAATTAATACTCCGTATTTCTTTTTGAGAGGTCAAGGAAATATAATACTTTGTAATAAATCTCTAAATTTATTTTGACATAAAATTTCAAATGTGGAGTCTTAAATTCTCATAGAGTATTTCAAAACATTTGTATAAAGAATGAATAATTAAGAGTCATTTAAGATTTTAAGTTCTAGTCGTAGTTGAAATTTAACAAGTTGCAAAAGTCAAAATTGGGAAAAAATGGCGCCTAACGAACCCCATACTATTTAAATACCAATTGGAATATGTAATTCTAGAGAGAGAATTTAATTCTAAGAGATGGGAAATTGTTTAATGGGAAATTGTTTAAGAAATACTATAATAAAGTCACCCAAGCCGGCGAAGGTGATGAAAATCGACGGCCAGACAATGCAATTCAACACTCCGGTCAACGCCGGCGAGGTGGTGAAGGAATATTCCGGCCTCATTTTGCTAGATTCGGAGTCGGTTAAGGAACAGGGGATCCGAGCCAAGCCGCTAAGGCCGGATCAACAGCTGCAACCCGAACGTCTCTACTTCCTGGTGGAGCCGCCGCCGCAGCTTCCGGCGGCGGAGAGATTTCCGAGGCGCGTCCGGTCCGGGATCCAAATGAGCGCCAAGGATCGGCTCGAGAGCTTGATGCTGGCTCGCACCAGATCGGCGTCGGATATGACGTCCGCGAAGTCGTTGGCGGCGGCGCGTCAGCAGACGGAGGACGGCGGCGTGCGGCTGAAGCTGCGGATCCCCAAGGCGGAGCTGGAAAAGTTGGTTACGCAAAGCGATCGCGACAGCGAGGCCGTTGAGAAAATCATGCGGTTTTGCGTGGAGCAAAACGGGAAAGTAGTCGGGTCAGACGATTCGGGTCTACTTAAAAACCCGGCTTCGCATTCGGGTTTATTAAAGAAAGGTCCAAAATCGGGTGAGGTATGATTTGACTTTTCTTTGTCTTTGACTAATTTTGTTACAACTAGTGATTAGTTAAAACTCCGTAGCATGGAAGCCGCATTCAAAAAAATTAATTTCATTTAAACTTTCTTATAAAAATAAAAAGTACAACTTGCATAAGAATTACGACAAAAACTTTATAAAATAAGAATATTCAAATCGATTAAATAATTAGTGAAAAGACATAAATACATAAAAGTAATCTTAATTTCAAAAATGTAGGATATAATCCGCTTAAGGACGAATGAAGTAGATTTTAGCCTGCCTCCCAAAAATTTTATCCAATTTAATTTTTTTTAAAATTTATAGAAAGTGTAAGATTAATTACGGTAGTGATAGATTCTGAAACCAGTTGTAAGAGAGAAAGAGAGCAACTTTAAATAGAGAATGCTGAGTTGGGGTTTGAACATCCGACCTCTTATTTAGGAGTCACAATATAATTACTCCATATATTATTGGATTCCAGAATTATTTGTAGAAAATACTTAAGGTAGTGTTTGACAATTAACATTTTAATTCAATTCCAAAATGTGAAATCTTGAATTTCAAATGACAAGGGGAGGTGCATGGATTTCAAATTAAGCTTTGTTATGAATGAGAAGAATTTGACTCAAATCCAAATTCAAAATTTTTTAGTTTCCCAAACATGAAATTTGAGCCAAATCCGGATTTGAAATCCAAATTCATGTTCTTAAACATACCATAAATGATTATGACTTGGATCAATACAGAATCAATTTCTCATAGACTAGGGAGAACAACCTTGTGACTAAGTCACGCGGTTAGTTTAAATGGATAAATTGGTCTCACTAAGACCTTGTTTAAGAGTAGTGATTTCAATTAATGTTAACGTTATAGAATTTGTTTTTAATGATGCAGATGAATTTTAAGTGTTAAAACTAAATACTCACATTAGATAACATTTCAAAATACTTACTTAAACATTGGAACTATTACCAAACAGGCCTTAACCATAGTTCTTGTAGATACGTTTTGCCGACCAGGCAACCCAAACGAGACTGACCTTGCGCCCACAACAATGCAGGCCAAATCTTTCGTCCTGCTACTAGACTAGTTCTGGCAACCATTGTTTATTCTAGTGTAATTGGAATGATTATTTGACCAATCTTATTATAATAATCATCAAAGAAGTCCGGTAGTGCGGAATGCACACTTCAATGAGTTTGTTATGATAAAAGTCTTGTTTTGCCCTTAAATACGTTAACGGGTTTCTAAGGGGGCAACGTCACTGAGAGCAAGGTTCAAGGAGCTGTAGCCCTTGTGGAGTCCGAGGGGCAGAGCCCCTGGCTGGGTTGAAATATTGTGTTAAAAATTCATTTGAATATCTATTTTTAGATTTGGATACATGAGAAAAGAAAAGCATCCTCTCCTTTTTGCGTAAATAGACGCGGATTTTAGAAAGACACACATACAAAGAATACAACAGTCCCTCTTCTTCCCAGGCTCTAAAAGAGCTTTGCAAGATTTGGTCCAAAGACATTGGTTTGAAAAATCACATAATACTATATACTTCTTCAATTCTTTAATTTTTATCCAATTAAAAATTTGTGTGAACCGTTTAATTATTTCAATCTGAAAGTGACAATACGCCTTTCAGAGAATCCACATACTAATTTGATATTTCTAACACCAACCTCGATCAACAAAACCTTTACAATGAAGCTATGATAGAGAGCATTGCATATGTCTAGAAATAATAATCATAATGTATATTGTTTATTTGCAGAAACGGGTAGGTTTCGGAGAGATTCAACATGTAGCTTAAGCTTCCCCATTATAAGAGACAGCTCAATCTAGTCCGTTCTGATCTGGTCAATTTCAGTTCAACCCGATTCTCTATTCAAGACCGAATGTATCTCGACTTTTAGAAAACATGATTGCAATCCCAAATTGGGACATGCTTGGTTGAAGGGGAGAGAGAAAGAGAAGGATAGTGATTCCCTCCCTGCCTTTGTTTAGCTTAATATTTTGTGCAGGGACGAGTGAGGGAGAACAAGAAAACTTATCATGAATTATATTGTACATTTGGATGCATTTACTTTTTTGTATATCTACAAGTACTCTATGTATTATGTGTCTCGTAAATATGCATATATTAATTTTATGATGTGTATGCTTTGAGTATGTATGAAAATCACATATTCATCTTTTTATTCATCTTTTTTGTTTACGAAACCAAGACTATACAACCAGACATTAAAATGTTAAACAACAATAGTATAGGGTAATAATTTAACAAATAAAGGCGAAAATGGAATTTTCATTATAAAAAGGCAACATCTAGTTTTACGCCACATTTTATTAAACATCTACAAATAGCTAAATCAAACAAGTTTTTATTAGAGTTTTTATTTTTATTATATAGACTCTAGTCTTAAAATCCCACACTTTTGTATCAAATTTTAACTATCAAATTCTATCTAAAATCTTATTTTAGCTTGTAGCCGTAGCATATTTAATCTAGATTCCGGTTACGAGAATCCAATTCTTGACTCTCTATAATCCACTACACCTATCTTCCGAATGAGACTCTAAATTCTAATTAAAATAAATGAATCGCTCAACTTAAATTGTATGTTTACTCAAACTACTAGCATTTGCTCCCTTGTCTCAATTTAAATAATATATTTACTATTCACAAAGTTAAATTTTATTCATTTTCTTTATTCTCTTTTGTTACTCAAAAGTTAAATTTTATTCATTTTCTTTATTCTCTTTTGTTACTCAAATGATAAAATAATATAGTTATGTCATCTCTTGTTCGGAAGATTTTTTGATATACTCCTTTTAAAGCAAAATGTTTTACACCTTACGTACAACGAAGCGAAACTTCAAGTTTTCTAAAATCATTTTATTTAAAAATTGGTATAAAAATTAAAAATAAAATTTACATATATGAGAACTATGTCAAAAGTTTTACTCCATCCGTCCCACAAAACCTTTCCCTTTCTTTTTTCATCAATCCCAAAATACCTTTTTCATTTATATTAAAAGTCACTTTTATCTTTATTATTTCTTAACCTACATCACACTTTTTTACTATTAATCCATTCATCACACCGAACTTTTACCCATCAGATCAAAGACATTTTTAGAAAGTTAACACCAAAATATACTCCCATTAAATCCTTTAAAAATTAAAAGAAGAAAGGTTTTGTAAGATTAAGGGGTATAAAACAAGAGATGATAAAACATATTTTATTATATTAAATAATCAATCAAAATGCACAAATAAATACTCCGTAATAGTTTTTGTAACTTTTGAATATTTAAGGGTGTAACTCTTTTTGAACGGAGGCACGGTTTTAAAATGTATAAATTTTGCCTTTTATTTTTACATCAATTTTTATATAAATTAATTTAAATATAATTTCATTCGCATATTTTAAACAACAATACACAATTTAAAATGGGACAAAGAGTTAATACTCGCAAAGTTAGTCACATGTACGGAGTAGCATTTATTTTTAACCAAGTGGGAAGGGGGTGTGATTGATAGGTCATGGTCAGGTGTGAACATAACTTGGGTAGGACACTATTCTTTCTTTTTTTTGAATGCTACTAATTCTATTAAAAAGGAGTATATGTTTATAATATTCTCAACTTAATGATATAAATTCCGCCAGAACTCGAAACTAGATGAACTTTTTATGAATCCTAAGAAATGGTCTTTGCTACCACTCAAGCCATAATGCTACAATGTATAGAAAGATAAACTCCTATCAAATAAATGAAAGTATAATCTCAACTAATCAATAGGAAATGAAATTTGTCAACATACCATTTTGCATTTTCTATTGTCCACTTAAATACATCCCAAAAACATAGTTCATTCATCCCATATTAAGCTGTCTATAACTATTGATATAGTCAGATTTTATTCATTTTTCTCTATTTTTTTATTCGTTTGATAAAATAATAAAGTCATGTCACTTCATATTTCATAAAGCTTTTGATTTAATTTTTTTAATATGTAGATTTATTTTTCAATTCTGCTCCAATTTTTAAATAGATGACATTGAAAATAAATTTACTCAAGCATCCTAAATTTAAACAAACAATTTAATTTGAGACGTAAGAAGTAAGATAAATTAACTACTCTATAGTACTTTCTTCTTTATAAAGTTACATATTTACTATTCACAAAATGAAAAAGTTTCATGGATGGAGGGGTTGTTTTTATATATGTATATATATTATTTTTGTTAATTCCATCCGATTTTTTCAAACAAGTTGTACTCCTATCTGAATTTAGCCTTCTTATTTGACTAATCTAAATCAATGTTCGTAAATATTGATATTGGTATGCAACAAAATTTACATTGAGTTTTGATATAAATGTAATATCAATAATTTAAAGTTCAGTAAAACATCGTGAGCTGAAACAAGCAATTTAAATTGAGGCGAGGGGAGTATATATTTAAGGAAGAGATGCTCTGTAACATATTAGAGCTGGCAAAAAGAAATTATAAACAGAAAATATGTGTGCGAATATGACTGGGCCATTCCCCCATCTACAATCACCGTGGTAGTAGTTGCCTCTAATCCACACAACCCTAACATTCTTTTAAAAGATCCTCCAAAACAAAAGCATTTAACGGAGGGGGGGCTTGTTTTCAAGCATGAATCTTTAACAATGTACAAAAGGGCACACAAATATTTTTGCCCCTATTTTACAAAGAAGGTAGCTTAAAGATTGATGATATAAGACCAAATAGAGATGACCTGTGTGTGTTGTCAACTGTCAAGAAGACGACCATTGTTCGGGGACGGTGAGAAAATATGCCGTCATTGCCTTTCTGAATCTTTTCTTGTACTGTTTCGGAGAGACGACGGTGGGAGATGCGTTCTTGGGCCCACCGAGTATGCCCGAAGCCTTCACCCAAGTCTCCAAGTGCTTGTCCCAAGTGTACTGTCTCATGAAATCTATGATCCCCAACACCAGCTCTTTACGCTCTTCGTCCACCCCGACCAACAGAGAGTAGTCCATCACATCAACAGACTGGGAAATAATAAGGCAACAACATTCATCAAATGTCATAGGGAGTAATATATTTAGGCTTGGGATATGGCCTATGGGTCACAAGATACATTGGGTTAAACCCCGCCAAGGAAACAACTCGACTAAAATCTCAAGCTTGTAGTTGGAGATCGAAAAATGTTTTTTATAAAGTGAATGGCAATGAGTTCTGAACTCGTGATCTTCAATCAAGGAAGCAACTCAACCAAAAAACACAAACTTGTGGATGAAGACCCATGAATATATTTATACTCGAATAAGCCACACTAAAAGATTTAATCAAATTGATTAGCTTGTTCAACAAATAATTTTTTTCACTTGTCATTTTCTACTTACTATGTTTGGTAACTTTGGTTCAAGGAATTAGGAAGGAAAAGAAAAGAAAATAAGTCTCATTTTCCTCACCAAAATGGAAGGAATTTAGTTTTCCCTCTTAGTATATTTTACCTTTTTATTTTCTTTTCCATCCACTTCTCTTTTCTTTTCCTCTCTAACCAAACAAGAAAAATGGTTTGCCATCTTAATTTCTTTTCTTTTCCCTTTCAAATTCCTTGAACCATAGTGTTAATATTTTGGTGTGGGACTCTAAGATATCCTCATTTGTAACAAGAAATGCAAAGATTTTGAATTATGGATCTTGAAGCAACTTTTGGAACTACTATCATTTAGTTTCACTATCAACAACGTAAAGCTAACAGGCTCTGTTTAAAAAATGATTGATTGTTTCCAACAGGGTATTGCAATGAATGCATAGTCGTAATTATACCTATTAAATAAGTTTCTTTATTTAATAGGCAGACATATTAAATAAACGAAGGTATTAATACATAGAGATTGAAAAGCTCAAGTGGCTTACCGCTAAAAACGAAGTATCATTCCAAACAGCCCTCTCCAAGCATTTTTTAGCCTTGCTTCCAAGAAATATAGGATTAGTCTGCAATGTCTGTAAAAGATTCAAATCTAACAGGACTTTGTTGGTACTTGTATCTGAATTATAACGGGATCGTACAGAGCCCTTGAGATCATAAACCCTACAAATATTTCTTCCATAAAACAGATTCTCCATGACAATCAAATCCATTTTTGTATCCTTCCCTCCTTTCAAGTACTTCACAGAGACCTAAAATGAAAGGAAAAAAACTGAAATTACATTTCATCAAAATCAACAACCTAGTTGGATCCCACGAGAGTGAAAGTGGATGAAGATAGAAGTGGGAAAGAAAGAAGGTAAGAGAAAATGGGTAGAAAATGAGAGTATACAATGGGGGCTTTGGATTGAAATTAGTAAAGGAGAAATATATGAGAAAGAAAAACGAGACGCTTTCTGTTTTCCACTTTTGTAGAAAAATGAAAAGGTTTTCTCCTGTTAGAAAATGGCCCCGAAGTTTTCTTTCCACTTGTTTCGTTGGATAGAGAGGGAAGTAGGGAGAGAAAATGTTGTTGACAAGTTTGCCCTCAACATTTTAAATTATCTCCATTCGTGGAGAAACTTTAATTTTAAGTAGACCCCACACTTTTTCTCTTAAGATATCTTTCTTGCTAGGACCAAAACATAGGTTTTATCCCCAAAATAGGTTTTCTATGTTTTTATCTCCACAATACGACTATTGCACTTTGACAATGTACAAAATTTTGGCACTATACATTGGTATTCCACAACGTTTTTTGGTATTATACATTGCCATTATTGGCATCATAGGTCCTATTTTGAAGATAAAATATGAAGTTCCTATTTTGTTCTCAATGTTATGTTTTAGTCCTATTCCAGTCCTTTTCCCTTCTCTCTTTCCTCCCCAAATTTCTCCTTAATCAAAGTAAATAAAATTTTCTCTCCAACTTCTCTATTCCCAAAATTTATCCAAGCAAATGAAGTGTTAACCTATTGAAGTATATTAGAAGGAAAGGGAAAGAAAGACAAACCTGAAATATACCAAGAACTTTTGCAAGGCAAGTTGGACTTCCTGAGCTAAGAGAGTGTGTCAAATATTTGAAGT